ATAAATCAGTTAAATGACGAAAAATTAGGTGTCTATTTACTTGTGACCACTCAATGTACAAATTTTACATTCCATATATATAACAATATTGCAGAATAATATATACATATTAAAAAATTCAACACTAGGGAGCAGGGAGACTTTTGAAAAATGGCGTCGTCCGTGAGTGTGGGCACCGTGCAAACAATGTCATTGGTGAGTTGTACAATTGTGTTGCGTTAGATCTTAGTAGAAGCATTTAAATTCAAAGTGTTAAACGATGAACGAGTATTTCAAAACAGTAAGTGTAATTTTGGCTTATATGGGATAGCGCCTAGCTCTAGTATAAAATTCACGCCTAAAATTTTACAAATTACACTTTTTTGTTTTCAATTTCAGTTTTAACTTTTACAAAATACAGTTAACTCATGAATTTGAAATTGAGTGACTTCACAAGCTACGTATAACTTAGTTTGCAAACTTATTAAACCTACATCAACTGTGTTGAGACTTGACACAGTGTCAATGAAGTAGAAAGCACGAAAATCTTGATTAAATTGATGTTCCAACATTCCTTTTTCTTCCCAGTGTAATTGTAACATAACACAAAACTAGTATTGTTAAACCTTTTTAACCGAATACAATATTTTAATGCTTTTATCAAACTTATGAAGATTTTGTACAAAACTTTGCATTTTAGAAAAAAAAAGTTCACATTCACATGTGCCAGGTTTCCCATTTTTTGTGAAATACAAATTGCCATTTATTGATTTAGGTGGCAGTCAACAAGGGCAAGATTTAATTTCTTGTAAATCTTAAATTTTGCACATAATATCATTAGTCAGTATTATAATTGTAAACGTTTAAGAAAAAGGACTTGATAGATTAACTATAAAAGTCAAAAACAATTTTAATTTTTCTCTAAGAATGCCTTTTATTGTAAATGACAAAACAGTTGAATTTGGATACTTCTGCAGTGGTTAATATGTTTTCTGACATTTATATATCTATTAAAGTGTCAGTTGTATTAAGCTAGATATTGTCAGTTATGAACAAAAGTTGCAAAAATTACCTCATCAAAGCTTATTAACATAAATTGATCTTCAAAGACAGGTATAGCTGATGATATAAAATGACCTTCAAAGACAAGTATAACTAATATAAAAAAAGTTATCGTCAAAGATAGGTATAACTACTAATATAAAAATTATCTTCAAAGATAGGTATAACTTCTAATATAAAAGAGTGATCTGAAAGACAGGTATAACTTACAAATATAAAAAGGTGATTTTCAAAGGCATATGACTTACTAATACAAAAAAGTGATCTTTGAAAACAGGTATCAGTAGTTTTTGTCAGCCGTATTTAGAAAAAATGTTCCAATGTCTATTTATTAACAGATTTTTTCTGTGTCTACACAGTTCCTGGTTTAATAGACCAGTTGTTTTAATAAAAATGTAACATGGATCTGTTATTTCACTGGTTTATATAATTTTTAATTTGACAAAAAAGGATGTAGTCTAAAGATATTGCCTGCTGACTTAAATTGAGACTGACAGTATGAAACATCATATCAATAGAAAAACTATGTATATATATACATGTACAGATGGTTCAACCATTCTCAGTTATAACATTTTGGGGAATGCACATTAAATATCTTATGTTTTGTTGTATTGCAAATTTAATATCATAAGTGGATTTTGCTAATTGCAGGAAATTGATAGTTGTAAGAAAAATTAACCTATAAAAACTTTTAAAAAATGTTTCAAAGCTTAATTCATACTTATTCTAGCTGGATTCAAAGTTATGTTCATACTTTAAATATGACTTTTTATTCAACAACCTGCAGTAATAATTTTTTTCTTTAAAAAGACAAGCTAAAAATGCTTAAAAGTTACAGTTTAAGTGTCCAAATATAGAAAAGCGTAAGAAACCAGCAGGCCTTAAATAGCTAGTGTTTCAGGAAGTGTTTGTTTTTCATTGTCCAGGCCCACTGACAAGATCTGGTATTCAATGAAAGGCCTCTTGGGCAGTGACTTGTAGGAAACGAAAAAGAGATCTGAAATGTTACTTTTACTCACCTCTGATTTTGAATATAAAAAGGACAAATTAAGAGGAATCTGGAAAGAAAATATCCACAGTTTATGTGGTTTTTATCAAAACTTTTAAGTCTGTTGAAGCTAGAATACAGTTTTATGATTTATTTACGCTAGACAAACTATGCAAGTAGATTTACATTCTGCTGAAATTGTTTCTTCAAATTATTTCTTACACATTTCTCTTAATGAGCCATAAGTTCTACAAGTTTAATTTGTTGTATCTTTTGATCTTGTTTGAATATTATTATACATTTTTTTCTTTGTCTTGTTGGATATTCATTTGAAAAATGTATGAAAGAGGGAAAAATGTGAATCAAATGTGTTAAGAGGTCACTTGTTAAGCCTAATTCAATTGATTAACCCGTGCTTGTATGATGAATTTTCAAAATGTTAAATAATTTTGTGTAAATTATTGATTTCATTGTATTTTCATATTCTTTCATCTGTTTTTCTTTCAGGTACGTTTTCAGAATGCTCTGGCAAAACCACTCTTCGAAAGATGTCAAGAAATCCAGTCTATTATTCAAGAGTCAAATATAAAGGTACATTATCTTACAATTGTTTTATCTATATGTAGCATTCGTAACTTGATGTAAAAATAATGGAGTAAATGTTCTCCAAGATGTTGGGTCAAATGTTTGTTGATCTCGTTGTAACGAGTTTTGATCATACATTTTGAATAGACTAACTTGTTGATATGGACCGGCATGGCCAGGTGGTTAGGGTGCTCGACTCGTAATCTGAGGGTCGCGGGTTACAATCCCCGTCACACCAAACATGCCAACCA